GAAAGGGGGAATGGGGCCAGATGTTCGTCCCGTAGCTAAAGGGGAAAATTATTCCTCAGGCTGGTGTGGTGGTGTAAGCCTTTAAGATCAGCACTCAGGAGACTGAGGCAGGTGCATCTCTGTGAGTCTGAGACTAATCTAGCCTACATAGTGAGTGGCAAGCCAGCCAGTACTGCATATTAAGACCCTGTCTCAAAAAAAAGAAAAAAAGAAAGAAAGAAAACGAGCCTTGCATTAGGGTGCACACCTTTAATCCAGCATCAGCATCAGAGAGGCAGAGGCAGGCAGATCTCTTTTGAGGCCAGCCTTATCTACATAGCAAGCTCTGGGACAACCAGGACTACATAGAGAGACCCTGTCTCAGAAAACAAAAATAGGTGGCTGGAGAGATGGCTCAGCAGTTAAGAGCATTGACTGCTCTTCCAGAAGACCTGGGTTCAATTCCCAGCACCTACATGGCAGCCCATAACTGTTTGTAACTCTAAGATCTGACATCTCACACAGACATACATGAAGGCAAAACACCAATGCACATAAAATAAAAATAAATAGCAAACAAAAAGAAAGAAAGAAAAGAAAATTATTTCTTGATATGTTAATTTTTTCGGAGTGGTGAGATTTGAGCGTATGTTTATTAGGATGGTGCAGTGAAGTCACATGGTGGGTTCATAAATCACACCACGTGACTGGTTCCATGTGGGAGGTTTTATTTAGGGAAGGGGGAGGGGTCACAGAGACCTTCTCTGGGCAGATTAGGAGAAAGAGAGAGTGAGAGGAGGTGGTGCGAGTTTTCTTACAAGGTGACCCAGAGCATGAGCAAGTGGTCTGTCTGCAAGTGACCTCACAGATTCTGGATGTCCCTTTTGTCAGGTCCCTTGGGGACTGGCCATAGAAATACCTGAATGTATCCCAACATTCCTCCCTTTTTGTTTTATTAAAAAGTGAGGAGCTAGGAAGGGGGTGATGGTGGGGAGGGTATAGGGGCAACCTTTGCTCTTCAAGCTACTTCCTGCCGATTAGGGGCATTGTCATTCTCAGGGTATAGCTGGTCCCCACCATCAGGGTTGATGGGAAGCTCATTGTCATCCAGTTCTGTGGGCAGAGGTTGATAATCCTGTAGGAGTAACTGATTAATGGTTTGGTTAGAGAATGTTTGCATTTGTTGTTGCAGGAATGTAGAGAAGACGTTAATAAAGCAAGGTGCAAAAAGCAAAAGCAGAAAGATGAGCAGAAGAGGTATGAAGAAGGGCAGAATCCATTTCCATATGGGGTTCTCAAAGGCCCAAGAGCTAGAGGGCTCGAGCTGTTCCCTTTACTTTTGTAGATCTGTCTGAAGTTGTTGGATTTTGTCCTTTAGTATACCCGACTGGTTGACATAAAAACAGCATTCCTTCTGGAGGAAGAGGCAAAGGCCACCTTCTTTAGCTGTGAGGAGATCCAATCCTTATTGGTTTTGAAGTATTACTGCTGCCAGTGAGTCAATCTGTCTTTGGAGGGTTAAAATCATTTGAGCCACTTGCTGGAGGTCCTGGATGATCTGGGAAGAAAGCTGATATACAAAGTTAGTGAGGTGGCTGGTACTGTTTTCTCGGTCCTGACAGCTGCCGTGATTCCTGCAACAGCCAAGAGGGGCAGGATTTGAATTGACCTCTTATCCTGCTGGACAGCTATTGAGTCCATGACCAGGATTGGTAGGGTAATAAATTTCATTTATCACCCCCAGCTCAGGGAAGAGGAGCACCAGTGTGCAAACTCCTGACCATCCAGCAGGCAGATGATGGTGGACCTGAGTACCACAAAGAATCGAGATATTATTAGCAGTAGTGCATTGGGGTTGAGATGAGGTATCAAGGATTATGGTTTTATTATAGTCTAAAGAATTTAGCATTCCTACAGAGTGTGTCCTGGATGCCTTGAAACAGCTTGCCATGCCAAAGAGGATGTTATGAAAAAGGTCGGGGGTTCTGGCAACATCAGAATCAGGACAGTTAGTATATGGTGAAGTAAGGTTACTTGACAGAGTCACCAGAGAAGTTGTCAACAGTAATTCTGAGTTGGTTCCAGGTGGGACACACAGCCAGCAAGCTTTAAAACTGCCCAGGTGGGTCACATTAAGGAGCTTGTAGGCCGAGTTCAGTGTCTGAAGTAGGAGACGAAATGATAGGTTTGTATTATTTAGGAGGGGGGATGTCAGAGAGGCAATGACCTTAGAGGAGGGTTTAATTACCTTCTCTACTCCTATCCCCAGGGATTGGGTAATTGGAACATATTTTCTCTGGATATGAATGATACTTATCACTAAATTGGGTGTGTAGCAGCAGTAGATTTTTCCAAGATGCCTATTTCCCATCTGGGATCTCAGGGGTCTCGGATGTATAAGTAGAGAGTCTTTTTTTATACAGGTGAAGGAGCTTCTTCTGTGCTGGTGTGTGGATTTGCAAGACCAGTATGGACAGCCTCCATATCTGTCTGGCCATTTTTTTTGCATCAATCTTTTGCTTGATCAAAGAGGAAACAAACAAAAATTGTATCAAATAAGAGAGGAGGAATAGATGTGGGGGTGATGGCTATTTCATTTGGCTCCTGACAGCCTCCCATAGAGCAATTTCCCAACCCTATTTGGAGAGACTGTTTGTTATCAATGATGGTTTCTTGAACCTCAAATTTCCATATGTAGGGATTACCTTGGACAGAAACAAGCAAGAGGGAGAGGAAGAAAAATACATATCCAATCCAATAGGGCTGAACACAGCTGCTGTAGTGAGGCCTCATTTCTCTGGAACCAGAGACAAAGTGGTTGATCTTGGCATCTTCTGGAGCTTGAGGGAGAAGGGTCCTTTTGGAGTTGATATATAGGAGGGGGCATTATATTGAGGAGGGGGGGGGTGAAAGGCTTGATGAATCCAGTGAGGGAAGCCCTCAAGCTTAGCAGCTGTGGGGGAAAAAAGAATCACCTTGAAAAGGCGCTGCCATTTAGGAGAAAGAGATGAGAGGCTTTGGTCTGGAGGGGAGAGAAGGACCTGGTCCCCAATGTTAGGAGATGGACAGGGGTTAGTGTGTGGCTGTGGTAAATAGTGGTCAGTAAAGTTCCATATAAGAGAACGGAGATGACAGAGTAAGGGATTAAGTAGGTGGTCAGGGAGAGGAGAGTATTTAGCTGAAAGACCAGGAGTTAGGACCGGTCTCCCATACATGAGCTCAAAGGCAAGATGAACAGAGTTTTTTTGTGGGGAGAACTAGTACCCTGAAAAGGGCCAGGGGGAAGAGTTTTACCCAATCGAGGTAATAGTTTAACAAGAGTACTTTTCAAGGATCGGTTAGTTTGTTCTATCTTTCCTGAGGACTGGGGATGGTATG